CAGCCATCAGCCCCTCACCCAGGCTGGCCAGGCACCCAAGCAGGACCCCAACCCTGATCTGGGACACCCTTCAGGGCAAACCAGCTGGCCTGTACCCGTGCACCAGGCCTCTATCCTATATAGTAAAAGGGTAATATGCAAACTGGCCCTAACAGCAGAAAGACTGGGAATGACTGGTCACTATGACACACACTGACCACCAGGGGGCAGATGCTCAATGCAGGAGCTGACCCCTGGTGGTCAGTGCGCTTCCACATGGGAGGAGCTCTGCTCAGCCACAAGCCAGGCTGATGGCTGCCAGTACAGTGGTGGTGGTAGGAGCCTCTCCTGCCTCCTCAGCAGCACTAATGATGTCCGACTGCAGCTTAGGCCTGCTCCCCGCTGGCAAGTGGACATCCCCCGAGGGCTGCTGGGCTGCCAGAGGGATGTCTGATTGCCATCTTAGGCCCAATCCCCCCGGGGAGCAGGCCTAAGCCAGCAGGTGGTCATCCCCTGAGGGGTCCCAGACTGCGAGAGGGCACAGGCTGGGCTGAGGGACCCCCCACCCCCGAGTGCACAAATTTTTGTGCACTGGGCCTCTAGTTCAAAATATAAAAAGCACTCATACAACTCAACAAGGAAAACAAACAATCCAATTAAAAAATGGGCAGAAGAGCCCTAGCTGGTTTGGCTCAGTGGATAGCACATCAGCCTGTGGACTGAAGGGTCCTGGGTTCGATTCCAGTCAAGAGTACATACCTTGGTTGCAGGCTCTTACCAGCCCAGGCCCTGTTTGGGACATGTGCAGGAGGCAACCAATTGATGTGTTTTTCTCACATCGCTATTTCTCTCGGTCTTTTCCTCTCTCTTCCCTCTAAAACTCAATGGAAAAATATCCTTGGGTGAGGATTAAAAAAATAAAAATGCTCAGAAGCCCGAATCATTTTGGCTCAGTGGACAGAGTGTTAGCCTGCAGACTGAAAGGGTCCCAGGTTCAATTCTAGTCAAGGGCATGTACCTTGGTGCAGGCACATCCCCAGTAGGGAGTGTGCAGGAGGCAGTTGATGAATGTTTTTCTCTCATTGACGTTTCTAACTCTTTATCCCTTTCCCCTCTTCTCTGTAAAAAATCAATAAAATTTATTTTAAAAAAATGCGCAGAAGATCTGAATAGACATTTCCCCAAAGAGGACAGACATAAATGGCCAAGAGACATGAAAAAATACTCAAAGTCACTAATCATCAGAGAAATGCAAATTAAAACTACAATGAGATATCACCTCACATCAGTCAGAATGGCTATCATCAAAAAATCTACAAGCATCCTGGCTGGTGAGGATGCGGGCAGTGGGTAGGGGAAGGCAACACTAGTTCACCGCTGGTGGGAATGCAGATTGGTGTAGCCACTATGGAAAACAATATGGAGTTTCCTGAAAAAATTAAAAATGGAATGTCTGTTTGACCCAGTGATCCCACTTTTGGGAATATATCCTAAAAATCCTGAAATATCAGTCAGAAAGAATATATGAACCTCTATGTTCACAGCAGTGTTATTTACAACTAGAGGCCTGGTGCATGAATTCTTGCACGGGTGGGGTCACTCGGCGTGTCCTGTAGGAATTGGGCTGAAACGGACAGTCCAACACTGCCTGCTGCTCCTGCTCATCCCGGCCCTGCTGCACCCAGTCTGGCGCCTGTCCCGAATGGGATGGGGGCGGGGCCAGGACGCGATCAGCCCTCTGGGTGGGCATTGGGATGCCCTTGCCAGCCTGGGATCCAGATCCGTCCCACTGATGTTCGCGCCAGTTGTCAGGAGCCACCTGACGGCCGCTTTTATATCATTTCTTTCTTACAGAGCGTCTAGGGAGGGGAAGTGGCCACGGTGCCCAAGGCCGACTTCCGGGAGGCCAGCGGCACTGTTGGGATCGTGCCAGTAGCGCTGGTCCATCGGTGCCTGGCCCATTCTCTGGAAATTGGACCCGCAGGACTACTGAGAGAGTGAGTGGCTGCTGCTGGGCTGGTGGGCCACCTGGATGTTGGTCAGCTGAGCAGCACCCCTGTTGTGGGAGCACACTGACCACCAGGGGGCAGCTCCTGCATTAAACGTCTGCCCTCTGGTGGTCAGTGCGCATCATAGCAACCGGTCAACCGGTCATTCTTAGGCTTTGATATATATATATAGATAGCTAAGATTTGGAAAGAGCCCAAGTACCCATCAGTAGATGAATGGACAAAAAAGCTGTGGGACATTTATATATAAAAGCCTAAGCGACCAAATGACCAGTTGACCAGTCGCTATGACACGCACTGACCACCGGAGGGCAGATGCTCAACGCAGGAAATGCCCCCTAGTGGTCAGTGCACTCCTGCAGTGGGGCATGCTGCTCAGGTGACCGCTGGACGCCAAATGCTGGACTCATGGCTGACAAGTGCAGCTGCAGTGGCGTGAGCATCTTCCACCTCCGCAGCAGCACTACCAAGCAGCGGCGGCAGCAGCAAGTGCAGCAGGGCCAGGATGAGTGAGAGTGGCACGGTGCCTGGCCTGGGCTCGGGTCCTCCCTGGCTGCCTGCCGCTTTGTGCACTACTACATCCCTCGGGGGATGTCAGACTGCCAGTTTTGGCCCAATCCCTGCAGGCCTGGCCGAAACTGGCAGCCTGACATCCCCGAGGGATCCTGGGTTGTGAGAGGGCGCAGGCCAGGCTGAGGGACCTCACCAGCGCATGAATCCATGCACTGGGCCTCTAGTGCAGCTATAAAAAGAGGCTCTCTTGCCCTAACCCAGGGGTCCTCAAACTACGGCCCGCGGGCCACATGCGGCCCACTGAAAACATTTATCCGGCCCGCCGGGTGTTTTTGCCGCCGCTGCCTGTTGCTGAATTTGTTCATAGCATTTTTTAAACTATAGTCCAGCCCTCCAACGGTCTGAGGGACAGTGAACTGGCCCCCTGTTTAAAAAGTTTGAGGACCCCTGCCCTAACTGGTTTGGCTCAGTGCACAGAGGGTCGGCCTGTGAACTGAAGGGTCCCAGGTTCGATTCCAGTCAAGGGCATGTACCTTGGTTGCGGGCACATCTCCAGTAGGAAGTGTGCAGGAGGCAGCTGATCGATGTTTCTCACTCTCTATTCCTCTCCCTTCCTCTCTTTAAAAAATCAATAAAATATATTTTAAAAAAAAAGGGGGGCTCTCTTACCTTTGGGAAAGCATAGATGGATCTGGAGCATATTATGCTAACTGAAGCCAGTCTGAGAAAGACAAGTATCACATGATTTCACTTAATTGTGGAATCTAATGAACAAAATGAACTGACCAATAAAATAAGACCTGAAGATGGAGGCATGGAACAGACGAACATACCTTGATGTGGGATTGGGGGGACAAGAAGATATAAACCAAAGAACTTATATACTTATATGCATAGCCCATGGACACAGGCAATAGGGTGGTGAAGACCAGGGAGGGGGGGGTTGAGTCTGGGCAGAGGCAGGTAAAAAAGGGGGGATAAACAAGAGACATTCGTAATACTATCAACAATAAAAAATATGCATTAAAAAAAGAGAGAAAAGACTCATTTTCTTTTCAAGCATTCTACAGTTTTTGAAAGGAAACAAAAATAGTAATTCAATTTTAGTCTCAGGTTTTCAATCACTGTCAATTCAGATAGTTATATAAGAAGCACTGAAAGCCCTGATCAATGTTCTAAGTGGTTAGAGCATCAGCCCAGGCTCTGAAGGTCTTGGGTTCAATTCCCGGTCAAGGCACATACCTAGATTGCAGGTTTGATCTTGGGCTCTGATCAAAGCATGTGTGGGAGGCAGCCAATCAATTGTTTGATTGGCTGCCTCCAATCACATCGATTGTTTCTCTCTCCTTCTCACATCGATTGTTTCTCTCTCCTTCTCTCTTATCTCCCCTCTCTGCCTCCCTTCCACTCTATCTAAAATCAATGGAAAAGGGTGCCCGGCTAGCTCAGTCGGTAGAACATGAGACTCTTAAAATCAATGGAAAAATATCCTCAGGTGAGGATTAATAAAAAAACAAAAAAAAAAGAAGCACTGAAGAAAAGTACCTTGAAATACATATATTTTTCTTAATTTTGAAAATTTCAGGATTTTATTCACAGAATCAGATATTTTCAAAACTTAAAAATGATGACCCCTGACATCAATGCCACACAGATTCTAGTGAATCTGTTATAATTCACTATTATATAAAAGATTTGATTATTTCAGAGCAAATCAGTGAATTAACTATGGTTGTATAATGAGCAAATAACATTCAACAATTTGTTAGTGCTAAATAAAACTGGAAATCAATAGACACCAGTGCATACTCTCTGGATGTGCCAGTAGGGACAGTGAGTACAGCAAATTTTAAATTGTCAGTCTGTCAGAAACTAAGGTCACAGAGGTTTCTAGGCAAGTGCCTTCCTCTCCTCTATCGAGGATTAGAGCCAAATCACAAGAAGAAAAGTTATTTAAGAATACTTTGGAACAGCCCCAGTGCAAATCCAACTCAGACATCACTATGACCATCAGTTACCAGATTAAAAACAATATCACTTCTGTCTATGTGAACTCCAGGCAGATTTTTTCTTAAAGAAAGGAAACTGGTATGAGTCTCTAACAGAGTATTTCTTTTCTTTAAAAAAAAAAAAATGATTTCAGAAAAAGGGAGAGAGTGATAGAAACATTAATGAAGAGAATCATTGTTTGGTTGCCTTCTGCACGCCCGCTACTGGGAATTAAGCCTGCAACCCGGGCATGTGCCCTGACCAGGAATCGAACCCTGACCTGGTTCTTGGGTGGACACTCAACCACTGAGCAACGCCAGCAGGTCATCTAACAGCTTATTTCTTTTCCCTTATTATCTTATAGCTCTGGAATAAGAGAACTGTGCTATATTTTTGTGAAGTTCTGCCAGCATCCTTTTGTAAAGGATTTGTTTAAAGAATAGCAATAGATAAGAACTTACAGCCCTCAAACATCAGGTTAAGAAGAAATATCAACTTGCTCCAACTTACAAGAGTTGTGCCGACGACGGAAACTTTTGGACTGACTCAAAGGCTCCACGTGCCTGTCCACATAGCTCTTGGAACACTGCTGCTGCTGCGGGGAAACGGCAGCATCCTGGCTCTTCACATCTGTCCTCTTAGGGATGTTTTGAGGGGCACTGCTGGAAGAGGTTGGCTTCTTGACCAACCTGCCTGTGCCATTCTGATTGATACCCACTTGGTACCCAATACCAGAAGGGCCTAATTCTGTCTGATGAAGGTCTCCAAAATGTTGGTTTTCTCCAGGACCTGGTATCTCCAGAATTTTTAACTCCATAATGTCACCTGCCCTGAAATACACAAAAGAATCCAACTCTCAAAACTATAATAGTGGTAACAGTGATGAAACTGAAATCAATAGCAACCAAGCATGTCACACTTGTGGCCGGCGGGTCGCAAGTTTGACATGCTTGAGCTATACCTTTGCAAGGTTGCATTTCAATGAGTTATCAAAGGTAAAAACTAGGAAAGGTGGTAGATCACTAAAGACAAGACTCAGCCACCAATATTCAACAGACAAAGCACTAGCCTTTAAAGAACCCTACTGTTAATCACAAAACTATTATTAGTATCTTAGATTTCCAGATTGCTTAATAGCTTTTTTTTTATTCATTTACGCACTTGCTCATTCAGTAGGCATATACATAGTACTTAATATGTGGTAAGCCCTGCACTCTACATGAGATTATAGAGATGAAAAGCAATACATGCCTACAAAGAACTCACAGTCTGGTCAGCAGAAAAGACAAGTAGATAATTAAAAGTGTTAAATACTATGACATAAGTGTGCATAAGAGACTAGAGAACCCAAAAGGAAAATGCAGATGTTGGTTTGGCAGAGATCGATGAAACACATATGTTAAGTCTGGGTGGGTACGGAAAATAAGAGTTGCCCAAGCAAGAGAGGCATTTCAGGCCAAGGCTCAGAGACTAACAAAATGTGTCCTATTTAATGAACTGCAAATTTTATGGTTTGACTAAAAGGAAAGATGTTTGTGGAGGTAAGGCCTGTGAAGGTAATTAATCAGGGGCCAGTCATAATCACATTGGATTTTTCTGGTGGCTGTAGGTGAAGAAACGAGTTAGGAAACCAGGCAAGAAGTAGGAGGGGATAAATAGGGCAAGTGACAATGAAAAGAGAGAAGGAAAAAGAGAGCCATGAGACACTTGGAATTCACAGGATTTGGTGACAGGAAGATCAAGAGAAACAATTTATTATGGTTCTTAAGTTTCTAACTTGGGTGGAAGGTGTCATTAGTCACCTCTTAAGGGTAGATCTTTTGAGGGGAAATCTGCAGGTAACAAATTCAGCTTTGAAAATCTTTTCTAAAAATATATTTTTATTGATTTGAGAGAGAGAGAGAGAGAAATAGAGAGGGGAACATCAATGTGAGAAGCATCGATCAGTTGCCTCCCTCAAGTACCCTAACTGGGGATCAAACCTGAATCACAGGTATATGCCCTGACCAGGATTCGAACCAGTGACCCTTTGGTGCATGGGACGATGCTCAACCAACTGAGCCACACCAGTCAGGACAGCTTTGAAAATCTTAAATTGAAGATTTAAGGATAGCCACCTCAAAATGACCAGAAGACAAAATGTATGAAGCTCAGAAAATGGGTCTAAATTAAAGATTTGATATAGGCTAGTGGTCGGCAAACTCATTAGTCAACAGAGCCAAATATCAACAGTACAACGATTGAAATTTCTTTTGAGAGCCAAATTTTTTAAACTTAAACTATATAGGTAGATACATTGTCATTAACTTAGTTAGTGTACTCCTAAGGCTTAGGAAGAGCCACACTCAAGGGGTCAAAGAGCCGCATGTGGTTCGCGAGCTGCAGTTTGCTCACCACAGATATAGGCAAACAGAGAAGTCACCAGTAACAATGGCCAGTTTATACATATTCTCATGGGGATAAATGGCATGATATATGCAAATATTTAAGTCTAGTATTTAGTTATTAAAAATTCAATAAATGTTTATTATTACTACTAAAACGATTTGGGATCTCATTAATATATAACAAGGTACACATGAGATTGTCTAGAGTACAGCATGAGAAAAGAATCAAAGACAGAAATTTGAGTAACCCAATCTTAAAAGTGAGTAGAAGAAAAAGAATCTATAAAAATAGAAATAATAAAGGAATGAAGGAAAACATGGAAAGAAAATTCAAAGAGGTGATAGAGAAACTAAAAGAAGAGGACACTTCAAAAGTTAGGGAGCATTGGAACAGATTATAATTGAGACACTACCAATGAATTTGGCAATTAGGTCATCTGTAACCTTAGCAAGAGCTAGTTCAGCAAAATGGTAAAGTAAGATAAGGGGGGGGAAGTAAGGAGGGACTAGAGCAGTGGTCCTCAACCTTCTTTTGGGCATGCTCCACCTAAGCATCTCTAAAATTCTGATGAGCCCTCCCCTCCCCCATGACATATAATTCTTATTATTCAAAAAGTAAACTTCTATTCATGTGGAGGAAGCCTAAAAGGCCATTAACTTGGTCTAAACAAGCTTCCAAAGAACATGGCATCAATGAGAGAGAAAAATAAAAGAATGAAAGGACAGCTGAAATACTTAGGAAGAAATCACTAAAAATAGTTTAGAAAATAATATGAAGTGATATGAAAAAAATAGCAAATAAAGATTCAAAACATATAATAGAAAACTGAAATGCATAAATATGTCATAGTATTTATATACTGTATATGAGGCCCCTGGAACCATAAGAAATGCAAAAAATTGACTGTTAATAATTCATTCTCGAATTGCCGCCCTTAAAAATCAAATTGCCCCTCTGTGGGGTCTGTGCCCCACGTTGGGAACCACTGGACTAGAGAATGAGGCCACAAAGGGAATGAAGGCAGACTACTTAGCTCTGAAAAGAACTATGGGTGTAAAGAGAAGGAAATGATAGTTGCAAATGCAAGTTGTATGTGGGTTGGGGGGGTAATGTGTACTACAGGGGAAGCCTGGGAATGTTAGAATGCAGAGAGGAAAGAGATAGTATAAAGGTTGAAACTAAAGACACAAAAGATGGACAGGGTCTCAAAGATGATAGAAAAGGATAGCATATAAAGCACACATGATAAGGTGAGTCCTGAACACAAAGGAGATATTTCTATTGAGACTTCAGAGGAGGTAAGAAATAAGATTGGATACACCTACAGAAAAGGTTATGTGTGGGTATTATTCAGAAAGTTAAGGAAGCTCTTGTCTGATAGTCTTTTTTATTTTTATTTTTAATTAACATAATTTTGCCACATTGGTAAAAAGAGGGATGTGAAGACAACTGAACTTCAGATATGCTGGAAAACACTAAGAAAAATACATCCCTGTAGCTAAGAACTTTAACTACTGGCTACATTGTGCTTCTGGAGATAAATTATGATACAAATCTACAGATAGCTGCAGTTATACAAGGGAAAACCAGTAACAACCTCAGAGTAAGAAAGCACAGTGATACAAAACTGAGAAGTAAAATCTGAAGCCATAAAAGGAAACAGAAAGATTATTCTGAATTTGACCCATCCATTTAAATATATGCGTGCTTGATAGAGATAAGAAAAACATTTCACAAACCCTGAACCATTAGCTGAAAGCCAATTATGATAGCTTACTGAAACAGCAGCAGGACTGCAAAATCTCACCTTTGACAAGAAGACTGTACTCAAAAGCAGTGCTACACAAGAGAATATTGGCCATCTGGCCTAGGTTCAGACCACCAGATCACCAGATTAGATTTGAAAGAATCAGTCAGGATACTCACCTGAAGGTGACTTCTGGCACAAGGCACTTCACTCCATTGTGGAAAGGCCGGGTGAGAGAAATGGTCTGGCTGACCTGATCAACTGCTGACACTCTTCCCTGATAGACACCCAAGCTATCTCCACAGTTGATGGACACAATACTGCCCAGCCAATCCGTAGCCATGTTTCAGATGTGAGACCACTGTGGAGAGAAGAAACCAGGCAGTATACCTTAAGAAATAGACAAATCTTTAATTAAATTCAGTAAAGAATTATGTCAGGTTCTGTATCATGTGTGCTAAATAATATATACTAGTATTCTGTCATATCCTTAATTGATGTAATAAAACATAAAAAATAAAACTTTTTCCAGAAGGAGTTTGCATATTAATGAAAAAACAGTACCATATAATACGTATATATATATAGACTTTACAATTACTTTAAAGCACATGTACTAGATAGATACGTATTTACCCAGCTATCAAATCACACAAACTATAACCTGTTTATAACCTATTATATTTTAATATGTCTGCCATTAGAATGCTTTCAAAAAGAATTTATTATGAGGAAATAATATATAAAAAAATATTAGTAATATCAGAGTACCTCATATCAGAATAACCCTCTTGAAATAATGATAAATTCTGGACAAAATTTTTCTTTAAAAGCTGGCTGAAGGCATTACAGAACACTACACCTAACAATTACAGAATATACATTATTTTTACGTCTACATGGAATGCTCTCCAATGTATGCTGGGCCTTAAACCACTATCGATTCATTTCAAAGGACTGATATCAGTCCACAACAAAACTCAATTTGAAATTGAAAACAAAAGATCTCAAATATTTGGAAATTAAGCAAGACATTTCTAAATAACCTATGGGTCGAGGAAGAAATCAAAAGAGAAGTTAGAAAATAGTTGAAACTCAGTGATAATGAAAATGTAACATTTGTGGAATAAACTGAAAACAGTGCTTAAAGCCTGGCCAGTGTGGCTCAGTGGTTGAGCATCGACCTATGAACCAGGAGGTCACAGTTCAGTTCCTGGTCAGGGCACATGCCCAGGACACAGGCTTGATCCCTGGTGGGAGCATGTAGAAGGCAACAGATGAATGTTCTCTCTCATCGATGTTTCTATCTCTCTTCCCTCTCCCTTCCTCTCTCTAAAATCAATAAAGACATATTAAAAAAATAAAAACAGTGCTTAAAGGGAAAATTAGAGCTTTAAGTACTTATATTAGAAAAGGAAAAAGTTCAAAACCAAAGATTGAAGACTCCATCTTAAGAAGCTAGAAAAAAAAGAGGAAATTACTCTAAAATAATAAGAAAGAAAATAAAAAGTATAAATCACTGATATAGGAAACAATTCAGAAAAATAAACAAAACCAAATATTAGTTATTTGAAAACAATAAAGTTCATAAATCTTTAACTACTAGTAGACTAATCAAGAAATAAAGATAAAACACAAAGGAGAAACCAATATGGCAGCATAGGTAAACACCGGAAATTGCTGCCTCGCATAACCACTTCAAAAATACAACTATCATCGATGTTTCTAACTCTCTATCCCTCTCCCTTCCTCTCTGTAAAAAATCAATAAAATATATTAAAAAAAAAAATACAACTAAAAGACAAAACGGACATCATCCAGAACCACAGGAAGGCTGGCTGAGTGGAAATTCTACAACTAGAAGGAAAGAGAAAAGCACTGAGATTCAGAGGAGGTTCAGAAGTAAAGTGCAGAGGTACGGAAGCGCATGCTGAAAGGGCTAGTAACTGAGGACGTGGCGCATGTGGAGAGGGCTGGCAGCTGAGGACGCGGTTGTCTTTTTCAATCCGGAGGGAGGCTCAAGCTCCCGAATGCTCTGAACTCCAGTTCCGGGTTAGTCTCTTGGGACCCAGATTCATACGGGGAGAAACTGGACTGTCTGGCATTGGGCAGACTCGAGGGCAGCTTTCTCTCAGAGATGCTTGCGGCGATTACCGCGGGACACTGAGACATGGGGCCTCTTAGGGTAGGACTAAGGAGCAGCCATACCTGCTTTCTCCGCCCTGTTGATCCCCTGAGACCCCGCCCCACCCAAGCTGTGTGCAGAGGCTTTTGCATATGAAAGGCCTGGCCCTTTGCAATCTAAAATTACCTAACAAACTGCTGCTGGGTCAGAGAGACCCAGAACTTCCAAAAGAAGGTCTAAGGCCCCACAGCAGCTTGCATTGCTTCACAGCTGGGCCTCATCTGGGCACCTCCAAACCCCAAACAAAGAAAAGGAATCTCTCCATAGCTCCTGCTGGGTAGCCTCAGGCAGAGGCTAAATTAGCACCTCCTTAGAGATCCAAGAGCCAGTGTACCCAGTGGTCAGAGTGGGACCATCCAGATTACAACTCCTCAGATCCATAAGGGACACACTCAGGGGGCAGACTCAGTGAGCACCAAAGCCCCACTGAAGCAAGTCTTGTCCCAAAAGGGTGTCTCCAGCACAGAAGTTCTCCCACTGCAGACACAGCTGATTCTCACAGCCAACTGGCCTGGAGATCAATTCCTCCCAGTGATACCTACAACAATCAAGGCTTAACTACAACAAGACTGTGCACAAAGCCCACAAAGGAGTGCACCAAGAGTGTCCACCTCAGGTAATTGGGGAGGCTGAGCCACCGGGCCATGCAGGACACCTAACACAGAAAGCCACTCTATCAACACAGGGAAGCATAAAAAATGCGGAGACAAAGAAACAAGTCACAGATGACAGAAATGGAGGAAAGCAAACTACCTGATATAGAGTTCAAAACCACACTTTTAAGGTTTTTCAAGAATTTTCTAGAAACCGCCAATAAATTTAGTGAGACCCTCAAGAAATCTAGTGAGATCCTCGAGGTTATGATAAAGGACCAACTAGAAATTAAGCATACACTGACTGAAAAAAAGGATATTATGCAGAGTTCCAACAGCAGACTAGAGGATCACAAGAATCAAGTCAAAGATTTGAAATACAAAGAAGCAAAAATCACCCAACCGGAAAAACAAACAAAAAAAAGAATCCAAAAATATGAAGATAGTGTAAGGAGCCTCTGGGACAACCTCAAACGTACCAACATCCGAATTATGGGGGTTCGAGAAGAAGAGAGAGAGCAAGATATTGAAAACCTATTTGAAGAAATAATGACAGAAAACTTTCTCTACCTGGTGAAAGAAATGGACTTACAAGTCCAGAAAGCACAGAGAACCCCAAATAAAAGGAATCCAAAGAGGATCACACCAAGACACATCATCATTAAAATGCCAAGAGCAAAAGACAAAGAGAGAATCTTAAAAGCAGCAAGAGAAAAACAGTCAGTTACCTACAAGGGAGTACCCATACAACTGTCAGCTGATTTCTCAACAGAAACTATGCAGGCCACAAGGGAGTAGCAAGAAATATTCAAAGTGAGGAATGCCAAGAACCTACAATCTAGATTACTTTACCCAGCAAAGCTATCATTCAGAATTGAAGGTCAGATAAAGAGCTTTACAGATAAGAAAAAGCTAAAGGAGTTCATCACCACCAAACCAGTATTATATGAAATGCTGAAAGGTATCCTTTAAGAAGAGGAAGAAGAAGAAAAAGGTAAAGATACAAATTATGAACAACAAATATGCATCTATCAACAAGTGAACCAGAAAATCAAGTGAATAATCTGATGAACAGGATGAACTGGTGATTATAATAGAAAGGGAGTGGACTGGCTATTCTTGGGGGGGGAAAGGGGTGAGGGGGATGCGGGAAGAGACTGGACAAAAATCATGCACCTATGGATGAGGACAGTGGGTGGGGAGTGAGGGAGGAGGGTGGGGTGGGAACTGGGTGGAGGGGAGTTATGGGGGGAAAATAGAGCAACAAATGTAATAATCTGAACAATAAAGCTTTAATTAAAAAAGAAAGATTAAATAAAAAGAAAATGAACAATCTGATTTTAAAAATGGGCAAAATATCAGGAAACCTCATTAAGAAGATATGTAGATGGCAAATAAGCATGAGAAGTTGCTCCACATTATATGTCTTTAGGAAATGCAAATTAAAATAACAATGAGATACTACTACATACCAACTAGAATGGCCAAAATCTAAAAGCAGTGACAACATCAAATGCTGGTGAGGATATGGACCAACAGGAGTTCTCATTCATTGCTGATGAGAATACAAAATGGTACATACAGCCACTTTGAAAGACAGTTTAGTAGTTTCTTACAATACTAAATATACTTTTACTGTATAGTCCAGAAATCATACTCCTTGGTATTTACCCAAATGAGTTTTTTAAAAGCTGAGCACAGCCCTAGCCGGTTTGGCTCGGTGGATAGAGCGTCAGTCAGCCTGCGGACTGAAGGGTCCCAGGTTCGATTCCGGTCAAGGGCATGTACCTTGGTTGCGGGTACATCCCCAATAGGGGGTGTGCAGGAGGCAGCTGATCAATGCTTCTCTCTCACTGATATTTCTAACTCTCTATCTCTCTCCCTTCCTATCTTTAAAAAATCAATAAAATATATTTTTTAAAAACCCACAAAAACTGATACTTTAAAAATAAATAAGTAAATAAATAAATAAATAAATAAGCTGAGCACAGATGTTTATAAAAGCCTTATCTATAACTGCCAAAATCTGGAAACAACCAAAAGGTCTTCATGTAAGTGAACAGATAAATAAACCGTGGTATATCTAGATAATGGAATATTATTCAGCCCTAAAAAGAAATGAGTTATTAAGCCATGAAAGGAAATATAAATGGATATTACTAAGTAAAAGAAGCTGATCTAAAAAGGCTATGTACTGTATGATTCCAACTATATGACATTCTGGACAAGGCAAAACTATGGAGACAGTAAGAAGATCAGTAGTTGGCAAAAGTAATCCAAAGGAGGCAACATAGCTTTTACAACAAATAGTACTGGAGCAAAGAGATATCCACTAATAAAAATAAACCTTGACCTAAGTCTCGTAACTTTAATAAACATTTACGCAAAATGGATCTTGAACTTACATATCATACTATAAAACTTTCAGGAAAAAGATATGAGAAACCTTTGGTGAGGTAAAGAGTTATAAGACTTGACACCAAAAGCACAATCCATAAAAAGAGAAACTGATCAACTGGACTAATTTTATTTTTTAAATTTACTTCAGAGAGAGGAAGGAAAGGGAGAGACAGAGAGAAACAT